CTTGAGATGCGCTGAAAGCTCATTTATTTGGTGCCTTTCCAATTTCTTGATATAGGCCCCTATTGCTATAAACTTGCCTCTCAATACTGCTTTTGCTGCGTCCCATAAGTTTTGATATGTTGTGCTGTTATCCTCATTTACTTCCAGAAAGTTTCTGATTTCTCTTTTGATTTCTTGAATGACCCAGTGTTCATTCAGGAGCATGTTGTTCAGTCACCATGTGTTTGCATACTTTCTGGGGTTTCCTGAGTTGCTAATTTCCAGCTTCATTCCACTGTGGTCTGAGAAGCTGCATGGTATGATTCTAATTCTTTTAAATTTGCTGAGACTTGCTTTATGACCTAGTATGTGATCAATCCTAGAGAAGGTTCCATGCACTGCTGAGAAGAATGTAAAGTCTTTAGATGTAGGATTGAAAGTTCTGTAGATATCTGTTAGATCCATTTGGGCTATAGTGTCGATTAAATCTGCTGTTTCCTTGTTGATCTTCTGTCCTGATGATCTATCTATTTCTGAGAGTGGAGTATTGAAGTCCCCCAGTACTATTGTATTGGAATCTAAGTCTCCCTTTAAGTCCCTTAACATATCTTTTAAATAGACCTGTGCCCTGTAATTATGTGCATATACATTTATAATAGTTACATCTTTCTGTTGAATTGAACCCTTAATCATTATATAGTGCCCCTCTTTGTCTCTCTTAACAGTTTTTGTATTAAAGTTTATTTTGTCTGATATTAATATGGCTACACCTGCTTTTTTTTTGGTTTTTGTTGGCATGGAATATCTTTTTCCAACCTTTCACTTTCAGTCTACATGCATCTTTGTTAGAGAGATGTGTTTCTTGTAGGCAACAAATAGTTGGGTGTTGTTCCTTAAGCCAGTCAGCCAGTCTGTGTCTTTTAACTGGACAGTTCAGGCCATTCATGTTTAATGTGACTGTTGATACATAGTGACTTTGCCCTGCCATTTTCCCGGAGATATTTTCTAGTATATGCTTTGAGCTTCCCATGCTCTTTTACTGGTAGGTGTTCTTCCTTTACTTTCTTTCATATTGATGGCCGTGTTTCTGTGTTTCTGAGTGTAGCACATCTTTAAGTATCTTTTGCAGGGCCGGACAAGTGGCCACAAAGTCTTTCAATTTCTGTTTGCTATGAAAGGTCTTTATTTCACCTTCATTCACAAATGAGAGCTTAGCAGGATATAATATTCTGGGCTGGCAATTTTTCTCTCTTAGCACCTGTGCTATGTCTCGCCATTCCCTCCTAGCCTGTAGTGTTTCTGATGAGAAGTCTGCTGTAAGTCTGATTGGAGATCCTCTGAGAGTAATCTGACATTTCTCTCTTGCACATTTTAGGATCTTTTCTTTATGTTTCACTGTGGTGAGTTTAATTACAACGTGTCATGGTGAGGATCTCTTTTGGTCATGTTTACTGGGGGTTCTATGAGCTTCGTGTCCTAGGATGTCTCTGTCCTTCTCCAGACCCGGAAAGTTCTCTGCTAGTATCTCACTAAAAAGGCCTTCTAATCCTTTCTCTCTCTCCATGCCTTCAGGAACTCCTAGAACCCGAATGTTGTTTTTTTTAATAGTATCCTGTAGATTCCCAACAATATTTTTTAGATTTCTAATTTCCTCTTCTTTTCTTTGGTTTGACTGTATCCTTTCCTGTGCTCTATCTTCTAAGTCCGATATTCTCTCTTCTGCTTCACCCATTCTGTTTGTAAGGCTCTCTAATGTGGTTGTCATTTGATCTATTGAGCTCTTCATTTCATTTTGATTTCTCTTCACTATCACACTTTCCTGCTCTACTAGTTTCTACGTTTCATTTTGATTCTTCCTTAAAATTTCATTTTCATGAGAGAGATTTTCAATCCTGTCCAATAAGGACTTCTGTAGTTCAAGGATTTGCTTTTGAAAACTTCTAAATGTTCTTATCATAAATTTTTTGAAATCCGTTTCTTGCATTTCTTCTATCTCATCATCTTCATAATCTTGGCTTGGGGTGTTTTGTTTATTTGGAGGCATCATAATGTCATCGTTGATCTTGTTCCCTCGATTTCTGTGTTTGTTGCTTGGCATAGTTAATTCTTCTTTCGTCACTGTACAATTTTTTAATTTTTTTTTATTTTATACTATGTCTGTGTTAAGTGGACTGCCTGCTGTTGGAGGAGCCTTGGAGGCTTGAGATGGGTGTGGCCTGAGAGCTCTGCTTGGTTCTTCAGGGTTACAGGTGTGCAAAGGTGACACCCTCAGGTTATGCGTGGTAAATCTCTATTTATTTATCTATTTATTTATTTAATTTATTTAATTTATTCAGGGGGTAAGTAATACCGCACGGCATGGCTGTGCAGAATTGATGGTATTTAGCTTCCGATCTCTGGCTTCTACCCAAAGAGTCTGTGCAGGCTCCGTTTCTCCTGCGGACTCCCACTGGGTTGCCTAGGCTACTGAATTGTAGGCTTAACTCTCCCCTTTTATTATGTATATCCTAGCTCTTTGTCTCTTGCTTGCCTTTGCAAGGTTGGCAGAGAGTGGAACTTGTCTGTACCAGTATTCCCCCACCTATTTATTTATTTATTTATTTATTTTTCCTTCTCTCCTGTAGTCTGTTGGACTTTCCCGCTTCAAAACCCGCGTCCCTCTAAAATTCTGTCTGCTGTTTCTCCGCCAATGTCTCCGGTTACTGAGCTCACCTGCGCTTCCAGCGCTGATGTGTGGACTCGGAGCCCTTAGCGTCCCTCCTCTCCCCGCTGGTGTCTTTGTCACATAGACTCCCCTTCTTGCACTGGTGCTCAGACTCTCAAGATTCATTTTCAATTATCTTTACATACAGAAGATCAATTTTGCAGATATTAAGTAAAGATTTCAACAGTTTGCACCCACACAGAAACACAAAGTGTAAAATACTGTTTGAGTACTAGTTATAGCATTAAATCACAATGTACAACACATAGCCTTGGCAACTCATGACAAGAGCCTAGGGTGATTACTGATGCCATAAACAAGAGTGTCAATTTGTTAAGTCAACAACAGGAATCACTGTGTATTTACTCCTCATGTAGGATCTCTGTCCTTAATGTGTTGAACATTACTTATTGTATTTGAACTAGTTAGTGAAGAGTAAGAAAAAAAGACTAGCTGATTGAGACTTTAAGATGTTCTATTAGTTAAATCCCAAAATTTTTAATAAAGAAAATTATATCCACTAAACTAGCTCCTGTATTTTACTGATTTTCTCCCCACTTGTCCTATTTGTTATTGTGAATGGGCTATTTAAATCTTTGAGTAAAAGTGTAGATTTGTACATTTCACTTTGCAGTTTTATGTGTGTTTGCTTCATGTTGGTAAGTACATAAGCATCTAGAGCTGTTTTGTCTTTATCATGAAATGATCTTTAGTCCTAGTGATACTATTACTTTGAAACCTACATGGTATGAATTTAACAGCAACTCTGGCTTTCTTCTCACGAGTGGTAGTATGGTGCATCTTTTTGCTTTTAACCTATTTGTGCCTATATCTGAATTGAGTTTCTTACAGGCAGCATACAGTTGTGTCTGGACTTACCTCTGTATTCTCACATTCTGTATTTGGGCCCCACAGTTCTTCGATATATTGTTAACTCTTAATTAGCATTTTTTAATATTCTATCCACTTATAACATTTATTGAGCAGGAGAGTAGGTGTGAATTCTCTAGTCCTCTATTACCAGTTTTTCCATCAGTCTCCCCCCAGCTCCTCCCCCCCGCCCTACATAGTACTTCAAAAAGTTAGTGGAAAATTAAATTATTAGTTTGGTGCAAAAAATTTTGAAATACATGCATAGTTTTTTGAGAATGTGCATTTTGATGAACTTTTTGAAGACCTTTCATATGCATGGACTTTAAAAAATAAACATGTAATTCTATTTTCCCTTAACTTTTGGAAGTATTCTCATGTTTACTGAGTACCTAGTACATGAGATATTTCTTTGGGGGCATTGGAAATGCAGTGGCAGACAAGTTTGAGTCCTTCCTCTCAAATAACTCACACTATACAGGAAGAAAGTGTTCGTTTGTCTATGTAAACTGATTTAGAAGCAATTTAAAAAAATATAACATTGAAGCAATTGTTGTTCCATACTTTTTCTTAATAAAAGATTTTAGGGGCCAGCATAGTGGGTTAGCAGGTAAAGCTGCCTGCAATGCTGGCATGTCATTTGTGCTACAGCTTGTGTATTGGTTGCTCCAATTCCAATCCAGCTCCTGGCTAATGGTGTGGGAAAAGCAGCAGGAGATGGCCCAAGTGTTTGGGCACCTACACCCACATGGGAGGCCCCGAAGAGTTCCTGGCTTCAGGCTGCCTCAGCCCTAGACATTGCAGCCATTTGGGGTGTGAACCAGCAGATGGAAGATCTCTCTCTTTCTACTCTTTCTCTCTGTAATTCTAACTTTTAAATAAATAAATCAATATTTTAAAAAGAGAAGAATGTTATATATTTGAAAGGAAGTATCCGAGAGGAAAAGGAGCTTCCCACTGCTAGATCACTCCCCAATTGACAGCAACATCCAGTGTTGAGCCTTGCCAAAGCAAGGAGACTGGACATCCATCCATGTTGGTGACAGGGACATAGGTTGTTGGGCCATCTTCTGTTGCTTTCCTGTGCACATTAGCAGGAACCCTGGAATGGAGCATTTGGCACTTCAACCAGTTCTTCAATATGGTATGCCAGTGTCATAAAAATGGGTTATTTCACAGTACTACAAGGCTGGCCCCAGTTACTACCTTGTGAGAGCTTCCTTGGTAAGCCTGGACCTCACACAATGGGCTTTTTTGCCCTAGAAAAAACTGGAGAATCATACATGCATTTGCACAAGATCTTAGGAGTGGGAGCTAAGGAAAATGAGCCTGAGAGGTTCTAACATTTAAGAAATGGTTGTTGAGTTTACCATATAGCCCCCCCACAAAAAAAAAAAAAAAACTGGAGAAGTGACACTTGAAGAATCTGTCTTTCTGTCCCCCACAGATATTCGGGAAAGTGCTCCTACAACAGAAAAAGAGTCATGGAAAACCCATGTACTCAGGGCACCTTCCAGCCATCTTGGATCAGAAGAACCCTCAGTTACCCAAACTGCCTTCATTTCACAGCAGTCCACAAAGAGGAGAACCACAAACCTCCAAGACTCCCCCAACACAAACATTATTCTAACAGGGCTTTTCAAGCAAAAATCCAAACCCTCAGTGTTCCCCAAAGAGGAGGGCAGACCACCTCTGCCCCCTAAGGGGCACATCATTATGTCAAAGCTTGCCAAGAAGGACATCAAAACATCAGTGTCCCCTAAGTGGGTTCGGAAACCACCAGTGTCCCCACCAAGGGAAACAGTGTACTACTGGTGTCTCCCAAGGAGAATTTCAAACCACCAAATTTCCTGCCCATGGGAGTCACCAACTAGAACCCTCATGGAACCACACTGACCCACTTTACTTCAAAGTCCTTAGGATGCCATGGCTGAATCATCCTCCCAGGATGCCTCCTTTAGTATGTCCTCTTTCTCTTAAAGGATGACTTTAGAGAAAATTTAACCACAGCTAGTCCCCTTCTTCCTCTCTCTGTGGCCAAGTGTAGTGGCACTAGGGGGTGGCCAAGAAAGGCATGCAGGGGCTGGTGCTGTGGTGTAGCAGGTAAGGCCGCTGCCTGCAGTGCCAGCATCCCATGTGGGTACCAGATGGAGTCCTGGCTACTCCACTTCTGATCGAGCTCTCTGCTATGGCCTGGGAAAGCAGTCGAAGATGGCCCAAGTCCCTGGGTCCTTGCACCCATGTGGGAGACCCAGAAGAAACTCCTGGCTTGAGATCAGCCCAGCTCCAGCCATTGCAGCCATTTGGGGAATGAACCATTGATGGAAGACCTCTCTTCCTCTCAAAAAAATAAAATCTTTAAGGAAAAAAAAAAGGCATGCAGAAGGGCCATGAGGCTCTCGAGAGATCACTTGACCCAGCCTTTCTCTAAGAATGTATCTCAAGGGGATTACAATGGGAACAGCGTTCTGTGTGGTCTTGCACCTGGAGCTGGTTGCTTTCCGGGTGTTAGAGTTTGTCTGATCCTACCTTCCCTAGTGTCTCCTGCCCGCTGTGATCACTCCTAAGTCAGAGGATAAGAGGTGGTATGGGCATGAGTCAGGGGCAAAGGTCTCCTTCCACACCTCTTTCCTGATCTACTGTGCAGTGGGATGCGTCCTCATACCTTCTGGTTTACCGACTCCCCACTGGAATGATGGGCACAATCCTGGATTGACCTAATAGCCTTTGGTCTGTAGGGAAACCCAAAGTTCAGAGCAGTGAGGTGAGTTCCACTGTGTGATCTTCACCCATTTACAGTGTTCTCTGGGTCTGAGCACCCCCAACTGTAAAAGCTGGTATAGGGGCAGACCACCTTCCTTCTGACTCGATTTGGTCTGGGCTTAAATGGAGCCTTCAAAACACTGGTGGGACAGGTGGGTGCCTCAGAGGCCACATTATCATTGCAGAAAGTGAGGTTTCATTTGCACACACCAGCCCCTCCCTCTGCTACACTGGCAGGTGGGGAGATAAGGAAGAGCAGGTGGGTGGGAATGACACAGACGTGATTGTGTGAAGGCAGACAGGCCCTGGACACTGTTACTGCAGTGTCAGAGAACAGCTCCCTCAAGAGGCTTCTCCACTGTCACTTCTCTAGGCACTCAGTGCAGCACAGCCGGGAAGGTGCCTCACCCCAGATCATAGCTGCCCTGTCAGAAGCCCGTACCCCAGACAGCAGTTGTCCCACCTTGGTCACAAGCAACATTTTACAGACACCCACCAGGTACGGGGATTTAACCCAAGATGGCAGTGGTCTTGAACATGTCTAGATGAGCCGGGGAGAAGTTTCTAACAGGATGGAAGAGCTGCTCTGGCTCCACTGGCCCCAGGTAAGGCCCAGAAACTGATTTCTCCCTCTCCCAGCCCAATGACCAGCATTTGCCCCTAACCTGCTCTGCTCCCAGATGGTCCCTTTAAGACAGCTTCAGGTATACCTTGGGCTCGATCACCCCAACCCTCAAACTCAGACCTGCTTGGCCAAGCAGGGACAGACTGAGAAAGCAGTTAGAGAGGACACCCTGCGACAGGGCACCATCCTGAACCACACCCCCTTTTGTCCCCTCTGCCAGAAAAGACACGGTAGGGCCAGAGGATGAAACACATGCTTTATGCCCTGAGGTGATCAGAGACTCAAGGTCGGGCCTAGCACTCCCACTACAGTTTATAAAAGTAGACTGTCTCCCTCACCCAGCTGAGAGTCCTGGTCTCAGGTTTCTGTTCAGTGCCTGTTTGGTTGGGTGCTTCCCATTACAGAAAGCTAGGCTCTCCTCCCAATTTCTCTGTGCCAACAGGATGCAGAAAGTCAGAAGGGGGTTGCATGGTAGCATTGGTCTGAGACAAAAAAGAGGCATCCAGGAGCGCCGGCTCTTACAGCTGGGAAGGCCACACAGCAAGCTGGGACTCGAGTTCACCCAGGTACCGCAGCGGTGGGAGGAGACTCCCTCCATGGAAAAGTGTGTCAGTGTGGCTGCCTGGCCTGCCTCCCCATCTGTATTACAGGGTCTCCCTTGGCTGCAGGAGTAACCATGGGCCTCAGCCAGCTGCTCCCCAGGGAGCCAGTAGCTCCTCTCTGCTGGTCACTTGCTGCTCCTCGAACCCCGCTGTTTGCTCATGGCTGTGGCCCGTGACGTGAGCAGCAGTGACATGCAGGTACCCTAGCATAGTCAGTTTCCCTGACCAAGAAGGGGAGAGAACACTTTGGAAGGAGGGAGTATGGTAATGTCCACTGGTGCTGGAAGGCCAAGTACTAAGAGGAGTCCATTGGGTGTGGTAGCAAGAATTTTGTTAGTAACTCCGGGGGAGCAATTTTGAATACGCAAATGAGAAGCAAGGGAGTCTCCAGCAAACAAAACTGTTTAGAGACGTGGGGAGGAGGCTGTCAGGGGCTTACGGGGCTTGGGTCTGGGACCCTGGTTGTGCAGACAGAGGAGCCCCCACCCACTTTCTTGTCCCTGCTCACCTTGGTCCTGGGATCAATGAGGCTGACCCCATACTTGTTGATGGCGATCAAGAGGATCTCAGGGAAATTTGGCTCTAGTTTGCTGGCAAAGGTAGATGGGAAATCATCAGATTGGTGGGCCAGAGCAGGGGAAGCATCTGGGGAGTGGGATGAAGCCCCTCTTGGCAGGGATAAAGTCAGCTTCTGCTGCCTAGGTGGTGCTCAGAGTGCAGAGATACTGACGGCCCCTCCATGTCTCATGGCTGCCACCTCCGCTGGGCCCTCTGAGCTACCACACCTCTTCTCACGGGTCCCCAGCTGCAGCTCCATCACTTCCTCCTACTTCTCTGGGAGTCTGCTATGTCCTTTCTCTCAGCCCATATGTCTCCCATCATCCAAAAGCCCTGCACCTGCTTCCAGATAGCCACCTACCCCTCTCTCCCTTCCATAAGCAAACTTCTCAAAGGCCTCCTGTCCTAGGTATGTAACAAGGTTATCCCCTCACCTTCTCATTGCATTTCTTCACTATTTCCTAACTCTTCCTGTGTGCCCTTGATGCATCCATCACCCTACAACCAGAATGTTATTCTGGCCACATCATCCCTGTTCAAAATCCTCCAAGGCTTGCCATCAAGTAGAGACCTAACACCCATCAGCTGGCCACCTGTCCACTCACCCACCTCACACCCTATGCCCAGCCACACGCATGCCCCTCAAGCTGACCTCGAATCTGTTCCATACCTCTTACTACCTGGCTTTGTCCTTTCTGGGAAGAATCCCTCCTCATGGTCTCTTCTCTGTGTGCTCAACCCAGAACTCCTACCCCACTGAACTTCCAGGCCCAGAACCAGAGCAGAGAGGATGTGTGGTGGATCAAAGGCAGAGATGTGCGAGTGCTGCCCGTAGGTTCCTGGAGCCTTTGGACAATCTTGTCTACTATTCAAAAGGGAAATGAAGGCGGGTCACTTCTGGGTTCCTGATTTCTGGCACAGGACAGCCATGAAGCATGGAGACATTGTGGATGTACAGGGAGTTAGGAGCTCCCAATTCTGTCCCACACGACAGGGAAGCCTTCTCAGGGGAGGGGCTTTAATTCCGTGCCTTTAAGATGTCCATGGTGGGGTCATTTATGTGGGAGGGTGCCACCTGCTGGGCAACCTGGGATATGTTACACTACTTCTCAGCCCCTCCTGTGATCTATTAGGTGAGGACAGTCACGGTCCCCTGCAAGGGTTATTTCAGGGTGAATTGATGGCAGCGTGGCAGCTGAGGGACCAAAGCAGAGCTGGAGAGTTCTCATCCGTAGGCAGCAGGGCAAGGAAGGCAGGAGCAGCCATCGGAGCAGTGGCCGGCTCTGCCGTTCCCTGCAGCAGGCGTGGGGGGGCACAGCTGTCCTCTCCAGCATGGCCGAGACCACTCAGGAGGTGGCAGGGTGGGGCCAGGTGGGGGCTGGCTGAGCCCTGCTGAGAAAGCAGAAATGAGAAAAGCATCCAGGAGTGGTTGGGACCAGTAGGGACTCTGCCTCTTGGCTTCTGTGGCTGAGTATTAATTCTGTCATGAAATGGAAGCAGTGAGGTAATCTTTTGCTTCCTATTTTCAAGGACTCTTTACAGCGTTGCCACGAAAGAAAAATGAGCCAAGGACTATACAGCACCCAGCACAGCAAACCTTCAAGAATACTGGCTGCAGCTGTTGTGTTTGTTGCCAGGCATCGCTGCGAGGATGCAGTGACCACCAGGGGGCACTGCCACACCCTCCTCCCTAGGGGAAGGAAGGATGATCCTCTTCACTGGCTCCCCAGTTTTGAGACTTTTGGACCAGATAATTTCTATGACAATCTGTGCATTAATTATGACCTTGGGTGATATTCTTATTAGTCTTAGCCTGTTTCTTTACCTGAAAATATGATCAGGATTTTCACTTTGAGGGTTGTTGTTAGGTTTTACTGAGATAATTTAAGTAGAGTACCTAGCACAGAGCCTAGCACACAGTAGGCACTCAATAAACAATAGTGGGTGGTAGGGTGGTTGATTTTTGCTATTGTTTTTGCCACTACCGCTGTCGTTCTTGTCTGTGCCAGGTACTTATCAAATACTATGTTTACTACTTTTGTTGTTACCTTTCTTTATTACTTAAATTTTTACTTTATGTATGGGTGACATATTGGCTACTATCCAACTTAGTACTCAAAATAATCCTTAGGGGTGGGGGAATCACAGTTCAGATTATCCTCATGTACTTAAGAACAGATTAAGGCTCAGAGAGTTTGTGATTGGTCAAAGGCAGTGATTGACAGTCAAACCTAGAGCTTAGGTCCTCAGTGTTCAAGTCCAGTTGTTTTTCTGTTATAGGAGCACTGTGCTTACCCTGATTATAGGTGAAGGACATTTAGCCTGGGCCATAGGTAGTAACTACGGACAAAACTCCTGGTATTCTGCCCCAGCCTCCTGGTTATCCTTTAACTGCCTCTTTCCTCCTCTGCTGCCATAAGCACTGTTCCAACCTCCATTGTGGCCTGAGGAGCTGCAAAGGTGTTCTTCCAGCTCCAGTTCTTAATATGAGTTATAAGTAATTCTAAACTCACTATCTTTAGACCTTTTATACACTAGGAAAAGCTAATCCTCAATTGTAACAGCCAGAACGGAAGCTGACCTAATGGAAAGCTCACCCCAAATCAACTTTTCCTCCCTTGTCATGGAATGGTTATAATGTTTAAAAGAGTAATTTCTGTTCCTAATGATCAGCTGAATTCGCTGAAGATGGCCAGGAATTGAGTTGAGAACATAGTAGATTCCAGAGTTTTTCCCATAAAAACTTGGATCATTTCTTTCTTATACTTCTTGATGCTTCTGGAAAGACAGATTAGCTCTATTAGATGTTATGTCCTTGTCAACTACATAAGAAAGAGGAAAATATCTCTAGGGATGAACATTTAGACTACAATTTAAAGTATATTCCTATGAGATGCAATGCCCTGTTGCTGATTTTTTGTGGTTTAAAACCAAAGTACTTATCAGCCCACTGACTTTTCTCTTTCCTCCTTCCTTTCCACTGTCAGTAGTTGAGCACCTGCTAGCACCAGGGATTCTGGACTTTCAATCAGGCTCTCGACCTTTCAGATACATATGTGCACATACAGGTGCTTACACAAACACTCACACCCCGAGCTAACCTTTATACAAGGCAGCATGTTGTAAGTCTCCTAAGAGAACTATAAACATGATCTTTATAGAGTCTTAAAGTAGGGAAAAGGCATATTTGCTTTGAGAATGAGATTTCCTTTAGGGTGATAGAAAAACTTGAATAGCTTTTGAATGGGTATAAATGATGTAGGATGTTTGAGTTCTAAAGACCCTAAACAAGGCTAGGGAGAACAGTGTATGAAGAAGCACAGTGGGAGGTGAGGAAAGTTCAAATCATGAGAACGTGGAATGTTGGGCTGAGGAACTTCTGTAGGTAACCAGATGCCATTTGTTTTTCAACAGGGAAAGAGTTATCACATATGTAGTATGGGGAAAATTGATTTGTCTATGTGTACAGGATAAGTTAAATGAAATAAAATAACATTTGAACATTCTAATCTTGACTTTGCTATTGAGTAGCTGTGTTTGCCAGTCACATATTCTCCCTCAATCCCAATTTCCTTACATGTTGAGAGGTTAATAGTACTTAACACAAAAGGTATCTCTGAGGATCAAGTGAAATAACAAATTTGAGAATGCTTTATATAGTACCTGTTACATAGGAGAAATGAATGTTTTGCTTGGAAACTAAAATATACCTTATATTCATATTATATGGAAATTTGTTTTATTTCTATAGACAAAATCTTTTCAAGATTTTTTGAAAGATTTATTTATTTGAACGGCAGAGTTACAGATAGAAAGAGAGAGAGAGACAGAGAGGTCTTCCATCTGCTGATTTACTACTCAAATGGTCACAATGGCTGGGGCTGGGCCAGGCTGAAGCCAGGATTCAGGAGCTTCTTCTGGGTCTCCCACGTGGGTGAAGAGGCCCAAGCAGTTGGGCCAACTTCCACTGCTTTCCCCAGGCACATATGTAGGGAGCTGGATCAGAAGTGGAGCATCCAGACTAGAACTGGCACCCATATCTGATGCCTGCCCTGCAGCAGTAGCTTAACCGGCTATGCCACAGCTCTAGCCCCAAGATCCTTT